TCCCTGCCAGCACAGCTGTGGTTAGATACTTTTCCTGGAGATGAAAACAGTGAACTGTGGCTCAGACAGCGCCCCCTACCTGCAGAGCTTCTTGATGAGATTGGCGGCGTTCTTGGTGATTTTCTTTGGAAACTCGATCATGTCGATGCCTCTCAGGATGACATTGTAGGTCTTCATTGGATCTGGACCTGAAAACGGAGGGCTGGAGACACAAGCAGACACTGAACCACACACACGAAAGCAAAAAACGAAAACGTCCAGCACCGAGTTGGATCCTCACCTGCCGGTCAGCAGCTCGTACATCAGAATACCCAGAGACCAGTAGTCAGCAGAGACGTCATGACCCTTGTTGAGGATGATCTCTGGAGCGACGTACTCCGGCGTCCCGCAGAACGTCCACGTCTTCTTACAAAAACCAATTTTCTTAGCAAAGCCAAAGTCCACCTGAAAAAAACAGGCCGAAGAGCTCCTCATGTGAATGTGATGACAAATTTACAGCATCCTTCTTTCTGACACTGTTCCTCGACTTACGTCTGATTGTTCGTCAAAAATAAGGGAGGTGTTAGTGCGTACCAGCTTGGCGTATCCTCGGCTGTCCAGAATGAGGTTTTCAGGTTTCAGGTCTCTGTAAATGATGCCTTTGGCGTGCAGGTAGGCGAACGCTTCGACCACGCAGCCCGTGTAGAACCTGGTGGTGGAATCTTCAAAGGAGCCCCTGAAACGGAGTTTAAAGAGCTGTGACGGCGCTCTCAGCACGCCCTGAGCCTCTGTGACGACTCACTGACAGGTTTTAAAGGCTGCAATGTGCACATGTTTCTTATTTGGGTTTTAGCCAATGAAAGGTCAGATCCTTCAGTCTGAGGTGACATCATCAGAGGTTTTGTCTCATGTTTCACAAATGACGGTTTCATTGATTTTGTTCTAAATGAAGCTTTTTTGACCGTTTCATGACTATAACTATTTTACTACATTTTACACAAGTTGTACATGATGAGAGTTTTGTGTGACGCGTACCGGTCTCTCAGTATGGTCCACAGCTCTCCGCCCAGACACGCCTCCATCAGCATGTACAGATATTTACTGTCTTTAAAGGTGCGGTACAACCTGAGCACAAAGAACAACAGCAGCTCATCTTTCTGACGGTTACGTGCAGCATTGTGTTTATGTCCGTTTTTAAAAAGCCCACGAACATGAATGTTTCTCCTGGCCAGACTCCAGCCTGTCTTACTTTTTACTTCGTCTGGAAGCCAGAAACAGAAAGAAGAAATCTGATTCAAGGATTTTATTTTGTAAATCCAGACTTTTTTCTCACTGCAAATTTTCCACAAAGTTTATATATCAAAG